ACGGCAGCGTTGGCTGCAATTTGGTGGGGTGTTGCTCCAGGGTGGTGGCGGGGCCTGTGTCCCACTTGGGGGAATCCAAGTGTTGCTTTGTCAGTGCCAGGTCCGTGCTGTTTCTCTGTAAATGGCCAGTGCACATCACGGCGGCAGCTCCTGTGTTGAACATCTGTCCCCTGATGGTCAGTGCACATCATAGTGACTGGTCAGACAGGTGGAGGGACACTTAGCATATATATATACACACACACACACACACACACACACATATACATACATATATATACATATATACATACATACATATATATAAAATACAGTATCATATATTTAGCCAGAGGACAAAAGACTAATGTCTAAATGTGAAATGTAGTCATCAAGCTGTAATCTTGGGTATGCAGTCTTTTTTTGAGCAATTCAAATAATTCATGGATGTTTTTGCTTTCATATTATTTTATGTGATAGAAAGTAGAGTAGATTTAGAAAAGCTTGATAGGCCAGAGGATGAAATATAGAAGAATCTGCAGAGAAATATGACTCTAAGAGGAAAAGTGGAGGGTAGATTACCTGGTGTGGCATTTTCTATCTTTGGGTGGGGATTACTCTTTTTTTTTGTTTGTTTTTTAAATATATTTTTTATTGATTTTTTACAGAGAGGAAGGGAGAGGGATAGAGTTAGAAACATCGATGAGAGAGAAACATCGATCAGCTGCCTCCTGCACACCCCCTACTGGGGATGTGCCTGCAACCAAGGTACATGCCCTTGACCAGAATGGAACCTGGGACCTTTCAGTCCCCAGGCCTACGCTCTATCCACTGAGCCAAACGGGTTACGGCTGGGGATTACTCTTTAAGGGGCAGAAAATAAGAACGTTGTACACTGTGTGACCAAGATAAGATATGTTTTACAGGTTTTTCAAGCGAACTGAACAGTCATATTTTGTATACTGTACAATTTAAAAAGCAACCCTTATTGGGTGGGCCAGGTATCAAGGTCCTCTCTTTGGTGACTGATTCCACAGAAAAAATGTATAATGCTAGACTTCCCTATGTTTAGTTCAGAGTTGTCTCCGTTACATGCTCATTTACTTCTCTGTATACACTCACTTGCCCAGCAAGCATCTACTGAACTCCAGGATGCTATCAGGGTGACACATTCACTCCACCCTCACCCCCAGAACCCTTTACAAACGATCTCAGGGGAAAGAGAAGCCCATCGAAGATATTCCTGAGCAAAACGGACATGCATATGGCACCTGCAAATGGAATACAACGGAATGAGAAAAGGTCAGCGACACAGAATTGGGCGGCATTGACAGTTCCGTGCACCGTGTGCCCGATGGGGAGCAGCGGGGTCGTCACTAGGGTGGATGGCGAGCTGCACGGAGCGAGGTGTCCTGGCG